AAAAAAAAAAAAAAAAAAAAAAAAAAAAAAATCTACAGCACGGGGATGCAAGGCGGTGGAGGTGGAAAACGAGTCAACGCAAGCATGTGCAATCTTGACGTTTTGAGATGGGAATGACAGCCGACCAATAGGGGTGGCGGATTGGCCAACGATGAATGATAGCGAACTACTTTAGTAGCGTTGTAGTAGCATGGCAGGAGAGGAAACGAGATGAGAGAGATAAAGAGAAAAAGAAAGCGAGAGCTATGCGGTCAAGGACGTAATAGGATGGTGCGTAAAAAAGGGGGGAGGCTTTGAATGAAGCAAAGACCAAGTCAAATCATTCAAGTAGTTCAGGATTCAAATAGATTCGACGACGGAGCAAAATCAGGGCGAAGAGAATAAAAGGATTCATAGACTTAAAAAGCACCGGGCTGTGACAGACAGCCGAGCCACCCGGCGCAGCGCCAAAAGCTGAAGCTGTGGCCACCGAACCGCTGGATCTCGAGTCCGTTGCGTGATTGGCCGCCGCCGTTTAGCTGGCCAGCTAGAGCTTACCGTCGCCTCCAGATCTGAACAAGGCAGCTGGGCTCAGATCTCATTTGGTATCTTGCGTCGTCAGGATTTGGATGGAATTCCAATGAGCTAAGCCTGCAGCAAGGAGCCGCGCCATGACCAAAGGGCTGGCCGTCGATCCCCTTTGCAAGTGTCAGGTATTCGTCATCGATGAAAGTCATTCATCATCATCATCATCCTGATCCCTTGCGGCGAAACGAAACAAAACAAAAAACCAACATCAAATCAAGTCGCACAGGGAGAGAGATCCCTGGCTCATGCTGCGGAGAAGCGAAGCCCCCCAGCCTCCAAGTTTCGTTCCGCAGACGAAAGCGAATAGAGAAACAAAAACAGACAGGGGATGCCTGGGCTTCTGGACCTCGTTCAACCAGCATGCAATTCGAGGGACCCCCATAATTGATTTTTCATCCTTCTCATGTGACAACGGAATTCAAAGAGCGGGAAAAGGCCTCGACGGCGCGCTTAGCGATTCGATCCGGGCCCCGGTTTTCCCCATTCCATCACATTGATTCTCCATGGACCTCCGGACTTCCGCAGGCTGAGAGACCAAAGAGGCCAGCTGAGCGAGATATTTAGAGTGGTTTAGAGAAAATCAAAGGGGAAAAAGTGAGGGGAAAGAATGGAAAGCATCGAGAGCCAATTCCGTGCATAGGCTTGATGACCTCATCAACCCCGGAGAAGCTGCTTACGTGTGTCTCAGGTTCGGCCGCTGCCGACTATTGTCTGCCCTGTTCCTAATTATAGGTGACCACAGGCCGCTAAATGAACTCGAGGCGGCGTATAAGCTTATGCTCCTGGGCTTGTAGTAGAGATTCCATCTAGCCAATTGCTTTCTTCAGGGTCCGCGGATATTCCCATCTGGGCATATGCTGATGCATTGCGTGGGCCCGCTTGTGCCTGGAATATCCGATAGATTCCATTCATGCCAAGCGCTGCAAATGCCCATTGAAGCAAGAGGCCTGCAGCTACTGTACGAATTTGTATCGCGAGTCCCAATTTGGCGGCCATGCACAAGACATCCAATACTGTGTACTCAATTGCCATTTCAATTACGGGTACAGTAGCAGATGTAGACGTAAGAGAATTTATATTACTGATTGAGTGACTTGGCTATTCACCGGCAAGGTGTTTATCTCATGCAACAGTCTCTGCAACATGCAAGCAGCTACAATTACTCGTATGCCTGTCTAGTATTGTCCGGACCACTCGGTATCGCCATTGACCATGCTCCTGTCCCTACCCATTCGAGGCATAAGAGGCACAATAAGCTCGCAAATTTCCGAATGCACCTTGTAATTCCTCAAACCCAAACAGCCTTGCCATTGTCAGCCTCATGATATGTAATAATATCAAAATGCATATACTTCCCCGTGGACCAGGATAAGCAACTTTGTTTCTCCTCTTTTCATTATCTTATTCTCGAGTCATGTCACCATCACCAAGTAATACTATAGTGCAAAACTATTCCCTCCCAAACTGACCGTAATCCTCCCATCAAATGCATCCACACAAAAAACATGCAGAACATGTTACCAAAAAGGCTTCTCTTATCCCATCTCCAACATTGTGACCAACAAGAAATGACTAAATGCTGCTCTTGTCCAAGCCTCGGCAAAACGCCGCCCGCCCAATCGGGCCACTCTGCCAGGCATCGTTTTAGATCAGCTCCCGCTTAGTGGCCAATCCCTTCCATGCTTGCGTCAACTTCACATCACCATTTGAACCACCACTCAAGAAAAGAATTGAGCCTTTAACCTCAATCCCTCTTTACCAATAATCAAATCAACTTGCAATTGTTACAGCCCTCGCCGCTGGCACCCAATGCGGACAGCTCTCCTCCTCTCCCCTCCGTAATCCGCTCACCACCTCTCCGCCATGACGACGCTCCAGCCGCGCCCGCCCTACTCAGACGCCGAGCTCGCCCAGCTCTACCCGCGCCAGCTTCACCTCCAACAAGTCCAAATCCTCCTCCGCCACGGCGAGCGAACCCCCATCAACGCCCGCTTCGGCAACGCCGGCCTGCCCGCCTTCTGGCCCTACTGCAGCGCCGTGCGCCGCCTCCGCGCCGCCGTCCTTGGCCCCTCCGGCCCCGGCGCCGAGTCCGTGTCCACCTTCTCCGAGGTCCAATGGCGCCGCCGCCTCGAGACTTTCGATAACAATGATGCCGCTATCCCTGCTTCAGGTCCAAAGGGAGAGCTTGATTCTCTTTGTGACTTGGGCATGTTGACGGATCGTGGGCGGGAGACGACGTACGCACTTGGCACAAGACTCAGGAAGCTCTACGTCGACCACTTGGGTTTCTTGCCGGCTAGCATCAAGGACGCCGACTTCATCTACCTCCGCACGACCCCGATCCCGCGCGCCCTCGAGTCCATGCAGCAGGCCTTCTTCGGGCTCTACCCGCCTCACACCCGCGCGCCAGACTTCCCGCCCCTGACCATCGTCTCCCGGAACCCCGCCGACGAGACCCTCTTCCCCAACGACAGCAACTGCCGCCGCTTCGCCTTCCTATCACGAGCTTTTGCCCAGCGCGCCGCCGACCGCTGGAACGACACCGAGGAAATGGCCTACGTGAACAAGAAGCTCGCGAAATGGATGCCCGCCGACAGCCCGCGCATCGCCGTCGACTCCCGTCCGCGCCTCATCGGCATCATGGACACCGTCAGCTCAACCATGGCCCACGGCCCAGCCACACGCCTCCCCAAGGAATTCTACGACCCGAAAGCCCGCAGCATCATGGAGACGATTGCCGTCGAGGAGTGGTTCGCCGGTTACAAGGAGAGCCAGGAGTACCGCGCCCTGGGCATCGGCTCTCTGATGGGGGACGTCGTCGCCCGCATGGTTTCCACCGCCGAGCGCAACGTGCCGCCTCCAGACGAGGAATTCGTCCAGACGCCCGGCCAGCACGGCACTTCTTCTTCCACCATTGACGGCCTGAAGAGCAAGAATAAGAAGAATGACGGCGATGATGATGATTTTCGCTTCGGCCTCAGCGGCTGCCACGATACTACCCTCGCCGGCATCCTCGCCAGCCTAGGCGCCTTCGGCAACGACGCCTGGCCCCCCTTTACAAGCCACATTGCCATCGAACTTTTCCGCTCCAACTTCGACACCGACAACACAAACACCACAAACAAACCATCTACGTCCCTCCTCTCCTCCCTCTGGCCCTCCTCCCCCAAACCCACCCCCATAGGCCGCAAGCCCACCTCATCCCTCACCCCGCGCGAAAAGGAGTCTCTGCAGGGCTACTTCGTGCGCCTGCGCTACAACGACACTCCCGTCGTGATCCCCGGCTGCAAGACCCCCGGGAACCACCTCGACGGCGATGAGTCCTTTTGCACGCTCGCAGCGTTCAAGGCCATCGTGGACAAGTTTACGCCCAGGGACTGGAAGGGCCAGTGTCATACTAATGTTAAGGCGCCTGCGTTCCCTGAGAAGGAGGAGCTTGCTGGGTATTGAAAAGGCTTTTTTGGTACTTAGTTTGGTTAGTTAGGTAGTAGGTAGTTGTAGATGTAGTTGTAACTGTTCCGAGCGAGTCTAAAAGAGCCAACATGGAAATCCTCCAATCTTGCCTCTTTGGCTCTCCGCTAGGCTTCAAAAGAGAGAGAAAGAGAGGCCTATGAAACCAGAAACATCATCTGTAATATGCCAAGATGAAGGAAAAATCATGGCGAATGGCGTTAAAAGTATACATGATATTTGTTATCTAGGCGACTACTATGTGTGTAGAACAAATTTAGACAAACATCTTAAAAGCACAAGACACGGCCATCACATTCACTCAACAGCAAATATCATCACCAAATACTCATAGTCATGGTCTTATTCAATTGTATTAGTCGATACCCGACCCGCCGCAAAACTCCATAACGACATACATGCAGATGTTTCTCATCCTCCTCCCGCCCTACAAATTACCAACCTCGGCCAGCCCCTCAGCCGTCATCACCAAGGGCCTGGCCACTCCTCCTCCCATCTTGGTTTCCCATCTTTTATATTCAGGAACTCGCCTTTCCGAGCCCTTTCATCATTTCCCACTCCATTTCATGCTTCCTACTGGACAAGCCATTGTTCGTCAAACGGCTCGCTTGGATATTGCATATCTTTCGCTTAGCCAAGTGCTAATCTTGCAGTTTCTTCTTCTCAACGCTTCTGGGGATCATTTCAGGGGAATTGGAAAATAGTAAAAAGAAAAAAGAACAAAAAGAAAAAATAAAGGGTTTGAACATGGTACACCGAAGGAAGTGATTATGGAAATATTGGTAAAAAGAAAAAAATGAAGAGGGGGAATGAGGAATCCATAAACAAGATTAAGGACAAGGCGGAAAGACTCCAAAGCAATTATAACAAATTAGGTAAACCCTTCCCCCTAACCCCACTCTGTTCATATGCGTGAGAAGTCCAACAAGGGACTACTATCATGTCCTTGGCCCAAACTTAATTGGCCACTTCCTCTTCTACCCAGCCATTGAGGCCTCCCTGAATAGCCAGGCCATAGCCAGAGGCTCCCATGCCACCGAAGCTAGCTTGGTAGTGGTGGCCACGCCTCTCGCCCGTGCTGCCGTTGCTCTCTGAGGGGCTGATGCCTCCGTTCTCGAACCCGGGGGCCAGAACCGGAAGACTAACAGCGCGGCTGTGCTGGCCACGTCCGTTGCCGGGGGCAAGCAGGCCGCCAATGGTGGGGGCATTTGACATGGAGCCGTTCATGGAGTAGCCGTTGGAGATGCTAGCTGACTGACCGTGTCCACCGATGGGGCCCTGCTGGGGAACATCCATTGACAGATCATTTGACTGGGCAGTGTTGAACAGAATGTTCTGCTGCACAGACATCTGCTGCTGCTGCTGCTGTTGCTGCTGAGCTTGTTGCTGCATGTGGTTCAGGTACATTGTCAGCGGGTTGCTGTTAGCGTTGAACATGGCTGCCGCCGGCTGTGGAGTGTTCCCGTTTGAGGGCGAGTTGCTGTTCTGTGAGCCATTGGGAGGTGGCGATGAGACACCGTCGCCGCGGGGAGATGAGCTCTGCTGGACCTGGCGAGGGGGGTTGCCGCATCGATCCTTTCCAAAGTTGACCTTGAACTTCTTGTACTCCTCCTTGCCGCGGATGGCCTCGATGGCCTTGATGGCGTTGGCAATGTTGGTAAAGTTGACAAAGGCGCAGCTCTTTTCGCGAAGAGCGTTGACCAGCTCAATCTCACCATACTCGGTGAAGTCCTGGCGCAATCGTTCCTCTGTCCAGGTCTCGTCCAGGTTGCCGATGTAGACGTTGCGCGAAGCACCACCACTCACAGCGAGAGCAATGGCGGGCGGGAGAGCACCAGAGTGCTTGCCCCAGCCAATCTTGAGTCTGCGGTTGTGAATCATCAGGCCCTGCAGGTTGCTGAGGGCATAGAATGACGCAGCAGCTGTGGGGTCGATGAAAGTCACAAAGCAGATGTGCTTGTCGGGAATGTAGCGGATGTGGTGCAGCAGACCACCTCGAACCACGTTGCAAATCTCCTCAATCGTAGTCTCCGGGTGGATGTTACCTAGGTAGATGGTTCGGTTGCCAAGGTTGTTCATGCCACCAGCGCTGGTGGCAACGGCCGCGGCAGCCACCGACTGCTGAGCGAGAGCGTTGGAGATGAGATCTCGATCGGCGCCGGTAAGCATGTGTGCGTATCCAGGGGCGATGCCCAGGTACTGAGCTGCGTTTTGCTGCTGCGTCTTGGAGACGTAGGCGCATCTGTCCTTGCCGTAGTACACGCGGCGAGGGGCTTGCCACTTAGCCTCCTGAGGCAACTGGGTGACAGCCTTGATCGCATTCGCAATGGACAGGTAGTGGATGAAGGCAATGCTCTTCTCGCGAACAATCTTGATGGTATCAATGGCACCAAACTTGCCGAGATCCTCGCGCAATTCCTCATCGGAAATCTCCTCGGGAAGGTTGCCCAAGTAGACATTTCGGGAGGCACCAGACTGCTGGACGGCAAGCGCCACAGATGTTGGGACCTGAGACGGCTTGCCCCAGCCAACCTTGATATCCTGGCCCTTGATGCACAATTTCTTCAAAATGGCATCCGAGTGGAAGTGGGTGGCGGAGCTGGCATCGAGGAAGGAGATGAAGGCGCAGTTCTTATCGGGGAGCAGGCGGACGGACTCGATTTGTCCACTCCGGACGTGACCCAGGATCTCTTCAGCGCTGGTGTCGGGAGGGATGTTGCCGAGGTAGACGGTTCGGCTGGTTCCCGTAACGACGCCGGCGCCCATGGAAACGGGAGAACCAGGCTGCATAGAGCTCTGCATGTTGAAACCAGTGGGCGACTGGGGAGGGAAGAACTGAGGCGCTCCATAGGTTGAGGGAGAAACCAGAGCCTGGTAAGACTGAGGAGACATGCTGGGCTGCACGGGGCTCGAGATGCCACCGTTGTGCTGCTGAGCATTGGCCTGCTGATGCTGAGTCTGCTGGAAGCCAGACAGTCCCTGGAACTGGGGGCTGCCAAAGGCGGCCGGGCTTCCAGGCTGAAAGGGGCTGCCCAGGAGCAGCTGCGAGGGGAGCAGAGGCGTGAATTGCATGTCAAAAGCCGTTCCCGGGGTCATATCATGGCCATTGGGCTGGTTCTGGTTCATGTTTTGGGTGTTGAGCGTGGGAATGTTGGCGCGACGAGGGTGGCGGTCAGCGAAGCCCGAGATGTTGGAGGTGAAGGCTCCATGCGAGAAGCCAGTATCGCTGTTGGAGGGCTTGGAGGCATGGCCGAAACGCGCGCCATTGGCACCGGTTGGCGCTCCCTGGCCAGCATTTCCATTAAGCTCCTGCATCCCGAGAAGGTGAGGGGGGACGAGAGAGTCCCGCCCAGCGTGACCGAGAACAGCCGTTTTGAGAGATTTCGACGTGCCTGGAAAAGGCACGAAAGGGTTATGCTGGAGGAGGTTCGAGCAGCCGGTTGTTCACGGGAGCCCAATACAAGAATTGCTGACGAAGATGTAACTCTTTTATGCAGAAACAATGTATAAATAGCAATGCGTCTTCTTCGAGGTAAGTCACGAGGTCCACCACAGATCAAACCGCTGTACCACAGGAAAAAAGGGGGTCGATGAATGGATGGAGGTTATATGTATGCAAAGTGACTTTTGTTTTTGATTTCGAATCCAAGCAGATTATGAACTGGAAGCAATCGAAGGTTGAATATTCAAGAATCGCAAATATTAAAACGGCAATATGCAAGCTCCCAGAGACATGAAAACGAGGCGAACTGGCGGCGTACGAGTAAGCAAGCAGTCGCTGCGACAAGACGGGATGCGATTGAGTGAATAAAGCCGCCACGGGGAGTATATCGAAGAGTGTCGGTGAGCGAGGGTAGCAAAGCTAACAAGAACGAATAGACAAGGTCGCAGGGTCCTCGGGATGCGAAGAAGCGGATTAGTCGAGCAATAATATTAGTAAGAATATGGGCAGAACGAAGGTCGCGTCGCAGCAAGACAAGACTTGATCCAATATCCAATATCGACGGCGGACAGGACCCAATTGGCTTTCCAAGACTGCGATTGACAACCTAGACCGTTGGCTCGGGACAGTCCAGTCGATCCAGCTGGGGAAACGACGCGGTGGATGTTGAACAGTCTAGGGCCTGGCGCAACTAAATTGTAGGAGCAAGATCGGTAGGACCGGGGGGGGTGAAGGGGAGGGAGAAGAAGAATAGGAAGAGGAGTAAAGGTAAGAGGCAGAAAAGAGAAGAGGAGCAACGATGGAGCAAATGAAGGCAAAGAGTAATAAGAATAAGGGATGAAGAAAATAACGGGCCACCGGCGAGGCGTGCTCAGCGGCAGTTTTTTCTGGAGCAGAGCGCCAACGCGAGCAAGGGGCCGGAAGGAGAGAAAGATAAACTAGAACCCTGAAAGGCTAGGAGAGAAGGAAGAAAAAGAGGGCCAGCAATGGGAGCTCGTACAAGTACAGGAACGGAACAGAAGTAGGAGGCGGAGGAGGGAAAAGAGAGCGGACAGCGACCTGGACCAGACAGGAGAGGAGAGGAGAGGAAGCGAAAAGAGAGCGACGAACAGAGGCCAGGGGGCGGTTTAGTCGCTTCTGTTGGTGTGGCCGAGGGTTGGAGTACTGGTACCTGGCACGACGGGGGGCGTAGTGCGAGGGGAGGTAGCGGGTACGGGGGAGCATCGTGGCGAGTGCGGTTGGGGGAGAGCAAGAGAGGTAGAAGCACCTGGGATTTTTGTCGGGGCGAGCACCACCATCTGTACCGGTACGAGCTGCTACGAACTTGGCACTACCAGAACCTTACTAACCTACCCGTTCAGGTGGCAGGAGGCGTGCAGACTGAACTGAACTGGGCTGGAAGCAGAGAGCAGGAGACAAGCACAAGCACAAGCATTGATGTACCAACTTGAGGATGTTACAAGCATTTGCCGATACGGCGCCGTACCTCTTGCGTACCGCAATGACCACCTGTACTTTGTCTACAGCGGACACTCTGCCCCATGGCGAGGGTATCGGCGGTACCTGCCGATGCCCGCTGGCTCTGTACCGTACCAGTACCTGTACCTGTACACGCCGCTGCAGCGCAGACGCGGTGGTACCTGGACCTGGGCCAGAACCTTTATTGAGATGGACAGTTGCCCAAACGGGACGGGGATGGAATTGGCTGCGGTGGTAGTTTAATGACCCGGCGCAGGGGTTGCATCTGCTGGACCCGGCGCTACTGGAGAGGGACTGGCGCGCGGTTTAGGGGTTGCAGTGGCGTGCAGTGCCTGAGCGGCAGGGGGGAACGCTGGAGCCCTTTGGGGGGAACAACTTTCTCAATGGTGCTGCCGAGAGCGGCCAGCTTTGTACCTTTGCATAGTGAAACAGCTGTGGCGGTACCGTGCAATTCAGCCAGCGTTTCTTTTCCCTTTAGCGTGGTGGGGCACGGGAATGTGGCCTCTTCTTTTTTTTTTCTCTTTTTTCCTTTTTCCCCCTCTTGACTGCTTGTCGTTCGTCGTCGAATATTGAAGAAATTTGGGGGCACACTTGGTCTAATACGAACATGGTGGAGACTTGTCTTGTACACGTACACGTATCCAGTCCATTGCGAAATGCAGGTACAGCTACGGACACGACGATTAAAGGGCCACCGATAGGAGCAGATGAGATGCGCCCAGAGAATGGAACTGGGCGCCTTTGATGGGGATTGGTTCGAGTACCCGTACAGTACTACCTGTAATGTACTCGTACGTACGAGCGCAAAGTACTGCAAGTATATAAGCCGGATGCGGCGTCCACTCTGGGTTAGCAGTGCTGCAGCGACAGGTACAGGTACAAGGCTCGGAGTCTCCATCCACTGCTGTCAGACGGGTCGAGTGAACCATTGGAGGAGTGCCCTGTGGGAATACAGCGTGGCATGAATGGGCTCCAATTCAAATTACAGGAAGCACGCTCATGTGTTGACCTGCATGGTGCAAACTCTAATGGGCTCGTAAAAGACATCAAGATGATTGATGGGTTAGACAACGCACCAAAAGACATGTGGCCGACCTGAGGCTGAGGTACGTAGCCCCAAAAAGTTACGGGGTATGAGTACACGAGAGCAAGAAAAGGAGTGACAGGTGTACAAACGGTACCTGCTGGTACTCGCACCAAGTTGGCGATCCAGATCCATCATTGCAAGTCTATGGGGAGCTAATATTAAAGAAAGCCACCAGACTGGGCCCCAGCTAATTACATTGGACTTGCTTGCTGAAGAGAGATGGATGGATGGATGTAGACACTATTTTCAAGTCGAGTCAATGTGAAAGTGAGGTGAAGAGAAGGTAGCAGCGATGACAAGAATGGCCTCCCATCCCATGTCATGCAATGCCATGCCATGCCATGTTGCCGGAGTGCTGAATCACCTTCAAAGGAACGGCCGCCGCCTCCTTACTCGGGCACAGATCCCTATTCCAGCTGGGGGACACAAGACGGGCCTCACACAACCAAAGGAACCCCCAATGCTACCTGACATTACATTACCTTCTTCTAAAAGGAGAGTCACCGGCAGACCTTGGCAAAGCAGCCAGGCAGCTGCAAAATTTCCCTCCCGCGTGCGTATTCGTGCATCAATAATTTATAATAATAAAATAATAAAATGCTAATTATAATAATCACCGGTCAAATCTTCTTCTGCATGTGCTTTTTGGGCTTCTTCTCCTGGCCAACAATTCTCACCGCCACGCATCTTGTCTCTCTCACCTGCAGCCATGGCCGTCTTCTTGCTCCATCTTTGACCGCGTTCTAGCGAATTCCATCCATAATTTCGCCGCCCTCATGCAGGACACCCCCCCTCATTGTCATCTTATTCATCCCGTTCACTAACAGGTACTAAATAACCCCCCCGTAAACGCCTTGTTCGCGTATTTGCTGTGGCTAGAATCTAGTGCCCTGGCGGTAGGCTCTTCAGTCTTAGTATGGCCTTTGGCGCATTCCGAGCTCGTCAAGGCAACCCTGGAAAAGCACACCGAAGCTACAGGTTGGTACTAGGTGGCACGACCAGTGGCGGCAGAGTTGGGCACAGGGTTGATCCCGTATCGATTCGATGCCCGTGTCGTGTGTTGCTTCATTTCCTGTGCAGCTGATGATGGTGTTACTAGTATGAGTAGCCCTTTCTTTTTTGTTTCTTCATATGTCCCTTTGGAGAAATGAGGGCCACCGATTGCATTCAGGAACAGGGGCTCGAGCCAACAGCGCCATTGTGAGCAGTTGAACGGAAGCGGATGGCCCATCATCACGACATCTACAAGCAAGCAATTGAACACGCTGTACTGAACAAACCAGCCCGCGGAGCCCCGAACAGGCCTCTGAGCCGTGGATGAAACCAGAAGCCCCAAAAGTCGAAACTGCACGACGGCTAGATCGGAAAAGGCGTCTGTGGCTATGGCATTCTGATACCGCTGCTTGCTTACAGCATAACGGAGCACCCAATATTACCTGCATCCCGTCCTTTGAAGACAGCACGAGGCGCTCAACCTCCATGTCTCGGAGAAATTAACCTGGGGACCCTTCCTTTCGTACGAGCACACAATCACTGAGAACAATGGGGGTGGCCTGAGAAAAAGCAATTGGAACCGTATTGCCGTATAAGCATGTGGCGATTCTGCAATCAAAAAATCAAATTGATCGATTCATTTTGCACGCAGCGCTTTAGCCGCTTCGAGCGGTAGCTACAGCTAAAACTCCGCATTGGAGCAGTGGCCGTCTGCTGGTACCTTGCATAGCCGCTCCAACGCCAACAAATGCGACGACGAGATTTGATGGGTTGATGGGCATCCATACTTTTTTTGATTTGATGAGAGGGTTTTTGTGGCGATGCCATGTGGGATGGAGCAAGGCCTGCAGTTTCTGCATGGATATCTGCATTAATCTGCATTGACGCGGGCTTGCTGTTTGATACTATATTTATACTAATTATAAACTGCATCGACTTATTATCCGGATGCATGTGCATGTAACAAGCCTGAACCTCATGCATGCAGTTACGGCGACGGCAATTTCTAGACCACAAAGTCATGCATGATACAGGTAGGGTAAAGTCTTTGTAGCTACTGATTGAAGTGAGTGTAAATCCACAACTATCAATGTCTTCTTTCTTGTGGCGGTTTCGGTGATCAAATCGTCAGCGGTCTATTCGCTGAATTCGAAACACTCACTCCTTGCATATCACCTGCATTCAGACTTGCTAGCTGAATGCATTGACAATTAGTTTCAAAGAAACAATATTCATTCATATTGACCAATGAACAATAATGCATTACTACTATATCTATTCATTCTTTGGAAAGTATCGTGTGTACCATTTATG